TTCAAGAAGTACAAATTGAAGCTTCAGTTTGAGAGCATTCAAGGGCAGATTCAACACTCTTAAAGCCGGTATAGACTTTTTCGAAATTTCGATTGTCTTTTCCGAAAGAAATTTTAAGGAATATAATGTCCTGTTACGAATAAAATTATTTGTTAGCATTTGCAGGCCTTTATACATTTGTAAAAAGTGGTTTATAAGTTAATTTTAGCATTGCACCAATGGTGTGCTCCAGTTAAGAAAGGTTTGAGCGAAATAGGCCTACTATAAATAATCACATCTAGTAACGTAGACCGACTAAAATGATTGTTTACAAGTAGGAATTCACGCATTTTGTATTCGCCTGGTGCAGTACGACACTGTTTACTGTGAATACAAAATTGTGTATGTGTGGTGTTGAGATTATTATTCAGACTCGGAAACATACGCACGCTAGGTCTATTCTGGCTCCAGAACTGCCAGGGAGCGGGACGCTCCTAATTCAAAAACTGAAATTAATTAATTGAGTACTTATCGTGGGCCGATTTTTTTCGTTCGATGTCTCTTTGGACAGCTCATAACTAATGTCATTTCTGCTCCCCCACCCCACCCCTTCAATTCCCCTCCTTGCAGGGCATGGGGTCTACAACGAACAGCCACACTTGGATTAGACATGTACGCAGTCGCTCGGACGTTCTGCTCGAACATCACTCTCTTTGGATTCTACCCGTTTTACAAAGACCTGGAGGGTCGAGCAGTCAAGTATCATTATTTTGACGATGTCAAATTTAACTTTTCCCGCAACAGGCGGCACAGTTTTACTGGGGAACACACCAAACTGAAAGAGCTGGAAAAACAACGGAAACTTAATTTAGTCGTCAGAGACTGCAAGCCGAGAGAGGGCAGCAGACATGAGAACACCGTGCGTGAACCAATCATAGACATGTAATAAAACCTATTATATGTCTATGGAACCAATTGACAGGACGCCAGTTTGAAAGCTTGTTACGTTGCATATGGTTTTTAGTATGTTTACTGAGTAATGTTATAATGTCATTAATAAGGCCCTTAATAGTGTTCCACCTTCAGTGCACCGGCAGATCGTGGGGGGGGGGGGGGCATTTAGGGCCATCCCCCATCCTAACAAGTAGCAATTTTATGCATTTTTAAATTTGGTTTAAAACTGTTTAAGTAAGAAGAAAGGTGAAATCATAAATTAAGTATATTATTACTATTTCTGAGCGATTAAGTCCATCTCAAATCTATCAGGGCATGTAAATGTCTATAAAAATCTGTTTGGGCAGCCGCAGCTCCACTGTGTCAGATGTACATTTTGGACAGTTAAACAGTGTGCGAAATGCAAACTATAATCAAGGAGTCAATTTTAATTATGTTAAAACGTTTGATTTAGTAACTACATGTACAATGATTTACAAAAGAAATTATTCATTCAACTTTTTCGTTGTAGTAAAAAGTAGCTCTAAACCGGCCAGGGGCGAGTTGATCAGGGAGCGAGTTGGCCATTAAGCCAATCACCGCATTCGTTTCATACATAAAAAAATAATTTCTAAAGAAAGAAAAAAGGCCTCAAAAGATGCACTTTGGTTTTCGATTCTGTCGCACATTAGGTGTGTTCACCAAACACTGTTTTCCGATGTTGTTTGTGTGTCACACAATGAACGACCACAGGCAAAACTCGATTACATAACTAGCAATGTGGGCGTTCTTAACCGGTTTTACACGCGACAGCATGGAATACCTAGCTTTTTGGAAAATAAGAAGTGTCAAAATATTTGCGACCGGAGCGCAAGTCGTCAATTTTTTGACGCAAATATTGACGCCATTATTCACGACTTGCGATGTCCCCTCAGAGCCACCATAGCTATGACCGCAAATATTCTTCAAGCTTGGATTGTACAGACAAGGTGGGGTACTATTTTTCTTTTTTTGGTGTCCTCATGTACATTGGTGTCCTCCATAATTTGCCTTGGTGCTCTCGATCATTTGCCTTGGGTGCAATTTCCCATTCCTTGGTGCTCTTTGGTAAAAAAAATTGAGGAGGTGCGGCAATAGAGGGCGCTGTTGGAGCTACCGCGGAACATTTTGGGAAAAAAAAGATTGACGCGCATGATTAGAATCGACTCATTTTTTTTTTGGCCTTTCTAATTCATTTTTTTGTAGACCCTGCTACTGGTTTAATATCCACAAAGATCTGTATGCCGAGTTCCAGTTCGAGTTCCATGATTCTTCCTCCATCAAAGAGAATGAACCAGAGTTTTGGCGACTCATTCTCAGGTTAATCTGTCACCGGCACCCATCATAAAATGTTGATGCCATCAACTTCATCGCAGTCGTTGCGGCGTGACCTGACCCTTTCCATCTGGTCCGGTAGAATTATGACTGAATCTGCCAAAGATTAAAGACGACAATGCTGTGCTGCAGATCCAGAAACGTTATTATGTAGTACAACTTCTGTCTCAATTTTGTAGTCGTACATGATGTCAGGCACAGATTGACTACAATAAAATAGAAAATAAAACGTATGTGTTACAAGACTAACCCAGTGTTTGTGTAACCTTATTCTAACAGAATTAGCTTATTACATATCACTTACATGTACTATACACATGCACACACATGTCCAAAGCAATGTTTATGTAAATACACATGTAGGCCCTTACAATGTACATGGACAGATGTGAGTTTACCAACTATATGAGCTAAACCCAGTGTCAGTCCAACAATTGCATTTATACCACCTACTCCACATTTTAAAGAATATTGATGTCTAAATGCAAGAATTGTTTATCTACACCCTGTATAAACCTCGACTTGCAGTAGTCCGAAAATTTGGGACTTTCAATACTGTGTATGAAAGTCCCAAAACTTAAGGTATTGAAAACATGCAATACCAGAAAATAGACTGGCTTCTGAAATAACCAGTCCAACAACTCTTCAGTACTGCGTCAATCAACTGTCAGCTGTGCCAACAGAAATATCTAGGGTGTCGGGTACTAGGTCACTATTTCTACACATTTCTCCATAGTCAGGCACCTGACTAATGACAATGAATGAAGAAGTCAGTCTTGTGAAACAGTTGGACTATGGATGGACATGTAGAAGTCTAGTCTTGAGCCTCATTTTGAAATCACTTGACTTCCCTCTCATGTGCAAGCTGCCAAATATTGAAGAAAAGTCTCCTTTAAAAATTGAATTGAAGCTTCAAACTTGGTTGGACAAATACTCAGGACCTTTTCTTTGCCACAATGACAGTTTTGGAGAAATTTGCTGGCTAAAGAGTGAGTAAAGTTGACCAGATCTTCTTTTGCATCGTTTTCAGCACTTAAGGTCCCAGTCTGGACCTGCAGTATAATACATACATGTGCTTTCTAACAATAACATGTTCCACAATAATTAACATGTGACTATGCAACCAAAAAATGCTTTGAAAATACAACTTTTAGGCTTACAAAACAGAACTAAATATCACACTAAGCACTAAATCATTGATATAAATTGTTTAAGAGCAAGCTGCTGTACAATGACCGTTTAATAAATCTCGGCGGGATAATTGCTTTGGTTGCAAACTCTAAAACGCTGAAGCCATGTTGCTTTGGAATGCTTGGTTACCGTGTTTCTGGTACAGCGCCCTCACAAGGCAAAAAATCTGAGTTTGGCCGCTACAATGACTGTACATGATGTATTAAAATGAAAATGTATTTGTGTTATCGAACTCCAAGTCTTTCAACAAGCCATGCATTCTTTTTTTGTTCAATTATTGGTAATGTTTACATTTTATCCAGAAACCAACATAACCAGAATCTATTAGATTGTGTGCATGTTCATATCTAATGAAATATGCAAGAACTGTAAAACATGGAGTTAACTATTTATAGCCAATATGTGAAGCTGTAGTACAAGTCCACAACTGATGCAAACATTTCCTCTATATACATGTACCATTATTATTTTTCGGAATTGGTTGAAATGTGTTGTTTTTTTTCCCCAAAGGCAATGATATTCTGCGTAATTATGCATATTAGATAACTTAGAAAATTTGGAAGGCTCATCTTTTAAAAAAGTCTTTCTCTGAAAAATGCCAAAAATTGAAACGACAGTATTTTCACGCTAAAGTAACACTCAAAGCGTTGCCCTCCTCAATTTTGCATAATTTGATAATTAATCATGCAAATATGACACTTTAATTACTTACACACTTGATTATGTTCCCAATAGTGAGATTTTGAAGGCTAGTTTGGCATTTGATTAAAATATTTGTTTTTGATTAATTATGCAAATTTGATCGTCATTTTAACTTTTGTTTTCATTTTTGTTTAGCCTAATGTCATACCACTGTTAAAACAAAATATCAAACAGTTCAGATACCAAGTGACATGGATACAAAAAAAATAACATTTCTGTAGTCCTCTTTTCGGTGCCAATAAGGAAATAAACAAACAAAAAACCTTTGGCCTGTTGGCTAAAAATTATCCCGTTTTGCGAAACATAATTGCTTATAACTCTCGAACACAATGACCGATTTCAAAAACTAGTTTCAAAAGTTCTTTTCTAATGAGAACTCACTGCATCACATTATGTCCATGGTAGGTCCCTATTCCTTTTAATTAATTTTCATCTGAAGTTCCATTGAAGTTTCTCCCCGTGTAGGCCTACGCGAGTATTCACATTTCCTTACAGAATGGAAATAACCCTGAAACCTGAAACCATAATACTTTGGTTGCTTACTACGGGTATAGAACTTGTTGCCCTGCACAGGAAGGTAGCAGAAATAGCGAATGCCATGTGACTCGCTTTCGGCCAATCAAGATACAGAATCTGTGAGTGAGGTATTATAAAATGTTCTGTGCGAGTTAGCTATTTTATAATAGCTAACTCGCACAGAACATGCTATCCGTCCGTGGTAGAATGTTCCGTGCGTGTTAATATACTAGCTATTATTAGTATTAACCCAAACCTATGCATTACTTCCGCAGTGTGTGCATTACAATTTGAATGCACACAGCTTAACCTCAGACATCTTTCCGATACTGAAACAAAAACGATGGCGGCCCATTCAGTTTGGTGGTGGTACACAGCTGTATGTATCTTTTCAATTATGGGATTGATGATGAGTTTTTACATAGTTGAGAAGACTTACATACCGCTGTATAATCGACCATATTCCAAGACTCCGGGTAAATTGGCCAATGCTCGAACGAGACAGAGTGCATCGACGGCCAGGTCTACGGTCACGTCGACGATATCGCCGGTAGTCCAAACCGAGCAAATGCGAGAGGTGACTTTGCACTGCAAGATGGTGTGCAGCAAGTAAGTTCTATTAGGCCATCAGCCTGGGGATTTGGTCGGTATCAAATGAGGAGAATAATGCTCATTGTGATTTTTAGCAAGGTATATGCACCGCTGTAGTTAGAAAATATGTGATAAAATTGCAAAAATGATAACACCCCCCCCCCAAAAAAAACTGCCACTGCTCACACTGCAAAGCTATCACACATGTTCCAACTCTAGATGTGCCTACCTCGCCAAAAATCGCTATGAGCATTGTTCCTTTCGATCATCTGATACAGGTGGCCCAATTTATGGACCGAAGCTGATAGCCTATATAGGCCTACATGTATACCTAGTGTTTATATTCAGGGACTGCTTCAGTGTAGTAATTTTCAGAGGGTTTATGACTCCAAATGCTGAGTTGAAACGTTTCTGTCAAACCATGGGCATTAGAAATTTGCAAATGCAAAAGCCTCCCAACAAGTTGAAAATTGGTTCTGAGTTCTGCTTGTAAGGAGACCTCTTAGAAATTAAAGATTCAAGCGGAAGAACATTCCCATTAGTCCGAGTACATGTAATTTGTATCTTGCGAGTATGAGTGCAAGTACGAAAATAATGTAATCGAGTACGGACGAGTATATTAGTATTAAGTACTTCGACTCTGGTCTTAAGGCCAAAAAAAGTATCCGGTTTCTGGTATGCGCGTGCGTCGCCGTAGCTATGCGCGTCGGCAAAATGAACGAGTTTTTTTTTCAATGTAAGATGATGTCTCAAAACCGCCAAACTCACTGGTTTGACTGGAATCCTGCTGCTGAACACTTTTCACATGTTTTTTTAGATGGTGTTACGATCGAGTATAAGCTTTATGTGGCCACTCTGGACTCCCATATATATGTGCACTAACTTTAGTCGGGCACTATTTGCAGTCATCAAGCGACATTTGAAGAAAAAAAACCGGTAAAAAAAAAGCCGCATCGCCGCACCACTTTTGAGGCAAGCTCCATACCAGAGACAGGAGATTTTTTTTGGCCTAAAGGGCTCATGCAATGATTTTTTTCTGAGGAACATATTTTGCGCAACAGTAGTGAAGCCCGTCTAACCAGGATATTTTCCCCATTTTTGACGGGCTCTCGACCAATCAGAAGGCCGGATTTGGCCCCACGTGACCCTCATTAGCATAAAATGAGCAACGGGAATCTACCATTCACCACGGGGAGTGCCATGGGCGGAGGGGCTTGCGTAAATGCAAATAATTAACGGCGTGTACCATTATTCTGGTATTGAATAATATACGTATAATAAATATGAATTTAAGGTAAATTGAAATGTACGAAACAATTATGATTGTCTAATTGAAGAATTTATCTTTTAGTTAAATATTATCGAGTACGGCGAACATCATCTAGAATGGAGCAGGGAGCAACCCGTAAGATTTGTTGCGAATGACTCATCCCGGTAGTCCATTGTGCAATCCACACGGGCAAATTCGTGTACGTGTACAGACATGCAAGAGTTTCTTCTGGTCGAGTTTTAAAAAATTTTGAAAAAAATTAATTCATGTATTTGTAGTAAACAAACACTCACCGGTGAACAGCGTACTTTACGGCGCTCCATCAGTGCCATCCCCTTCTTTATTTGCTCAGATAATTTATCACGTCATGTTGACATATCGCCGAGAGTAAGGCGACTTAATCACATAATTGTATCGCTAAGTCGACTTACCAAAGTCGACTTGACGACTTGTCCAGATGTATTATCTCGCCAAGTCGACTTACCGAAGATGACTTGGTGACTTGTCCAGAGGCATTATCTCTCCAAGTCGACTTCCATAAGTCGACATGACGACTTGTCCAGATGTATTATTTCGTCAAGTCGACTTTCCGAAGTCGAGATGACGACTTGTCCAGATGTATTATCTCGCCAAGTCGACTTACCGAAGACGACTTGCTGACATGCAAAAAAACTCGTTCCGTATGGATATCCCGTTGTTGAAGCACTGTCGTGGATTCTCTCGTGTTCGTCGGTGCATTTGAGGTTTTCCCCACCCGTTCTTATATGAACAATAAACTGGCAGAGGAACAAGAGATAAACTGTAGGGTATTGATTTGATCTGGGTCGGAGTTGATTTGTGTTTTTTTGTTATTTTCAACTTGTTTTAAATTACTCCCCCAAGCTTCGTAGGAAATCATACCTCTGCCTTGTTTCCCCCTATTTATCCCGTTGAAAAGTAATTCACTTCACGTTAAACATTAACAATCATCAATTCACAAAAATGTCTTTCTTGACAGGTTGCCTAAAAATGACACTTACAAATTCAAGATTTGCTTTAAATCATATTGAGATCATATTTAAGATAAAACGACTCTCACGGCTTAAATTGGAATATCGGGCAATTAGCAAAACTCTTGTCTGATATATTACGAGAAATGATTTAATAAAAAATCGCTATAAAAACTCTTATTGCCAACATTAAATTTGGGGCACTGAAGACAAAGACAAATTTGTTAATTTCAAGATTTTAAATGGGGAGAGCCGGGGGGGGGGGAGGCATTTGTTGCAGGACATTATATTCTTTTACATTTCGTTCGGAAAAGAAAAATCGAAATGTTGAAAAAGCACGTATATAAATATACCAACAATAACCTTTCAAATTCCCAAAACTATACAATCATGCGTTGCATGTTCGTCAAGCTTAACAACTTCTCCATAGATGATAATACCCAAACGCTTTGCATCAAGGCAACGATACCTTTTAATGAAAACAACTCTTAATGATATCATTAATCCTCCGTCTTTGTGCCGCTTTATGTAAAAAGGAAATAGACAAGCAGATATTTTGCATTTTTTATGAACATCAACAAAAGAGACACAACCATTAGTTGCCTCTGCACGCTGCATTTTGATCAAATTATCAGTCTCGGTGTTGTCGGGTATTAGTTTCCAGGAATGCTATTTAATAATTAAGAAATATCAAGTCCGTTTGCGAAAATAATTTACACGTTATTGTCCATCATACCCCCCCCCCCTTTGAGTTATCTTGTTAACAGACAAACCAACCAACCAACAAACTAACCAAATCCGATGAAAAAATGACCTTCTTGGCGGAAGTTGACGCGAAAAATGAATTTTTGTAGCCTCAAATTTGGCCCCAAATGGCCAAAACACATAATGGCCCGTTACCATGTCAACGGGAAAAATATTGATTTATAAATTCTATTTTGATCACTTACTCCCCAAGTCCTCTCATCCCACAAAATATACAAAAGTGTGGACATTTATATGAAGTATTAACACGAAATGACTCTGAAGAGTCATTTCGTGTAAATACTTCACATAAGTTGTCCATGCTCAAAAATCGTCATCAAGCCAAAATGCAAGGTAATGCAACCTTAAAAAGTGTATTTTCAGGTTTTTCCCTTTGTTATTTTATCGCGATTGTGAAGTTTAGGACACCTTTCCCCACGGATGAATACATTCTACTTGTAAGTTGTTTGTTATACCACATTCTGAACAAACAGCTATGTCATAGACATATTACAAGCTTTGTTTGAGAGAAATATGGGGTTAACTAGTCAAAAATACGAGATTGCGCAATACCCCTTTATACACGTCAATGCGCCTGGCGGCGGGATAGGGGTTGGGGTAGTTTTGACTCGGCAAAAACGTGACCTGCGTAAGAAAATTGCATTTTCCACCTTGTAAATCTTTCTAAAGTGACAAAAGCAGGTATTATTCGGAATCAGATAAGTCTATTAAAGGTCAGTAAAGTCATTTTTAAATAATCAAATATTCCAGACAGTATTAAATATAACCACAATGTATAAAGGAATTCTTAACTACACAATCGTGAATATGTCCTTGCTTTTAATACTTCAACGTTAACATTTTTGAATTAACAAATTAACAAAACATTTCCATGTTTTTATACCCTGTAATTTATGAGCACCAATCGATTTAAAATCGCTTGTCGTGCAACAATGGACACGCCACAAAGGTGCGGCCACGCTGACCACTAAAACGTTGGAAAATTAGACTCACAATTTTATGTTGATTAGGAAATTACGAATTTGCAGGACATCGCAGACCCCACAACGGTAGTCTGTTCAACTTAACTTTTATTACTCGATCTGACCGTTACTACATGTAGGGCCAAGATAATTCATTCAATCAAATAGATGCAAGTCTTCACTAAGAGTTTTCACTGGAGTGATCCTTGTTTTAAAGTACATGCATTTCAATAAAACAAAATAAGAGTTATTTGCTCTCTAAATCGCCTGATCACTTCCCTGTTTTGAAAATAATTATATATATGATGTTTAAAAAAAAGAAGCAATACCTGCATAGTGCATATAAATAATGTGGACTTTCACTATGGCAATATATGTAACCTTATCAATAATTCTTCGTGTAGAATTCTTTGGGAGGGAGGGGGACGGGGAGTTGCTTATATGAGCGCTGGAGGAGGGGGAGGGGTTGTAGGGGAGGGGACTGTGAGACGGCTGTTGGTGTAGATTATGAAAGTTGCACTTGCAAATTGATATCTATTTAGGCAATTGCATATAGCAATCAAAATCATTACTTCACATAAATGGAAAAGAATCCTTTGATCCAGGCCCCAATCCGGATAACTTCCAAAATCTATTCGATTTGTACTTTTACCAAGGACCACCCCTAAAATGTTTTTTTTCATGCAAATCCGTTCATAACTTTTTGAGTTATCTTATTAACAGACAAACCAACCAACCAACAAACTAACCAAATCCGATGACGTCCTTGGTGGAGGTAGTACCGCGAAAAATGAATTTTTGCAGCCTCAAAATATTGACCCAAAATGGCCAAAACACATAATGGCCCGTTCACCATGGCAACGAGCACAATATTGATTTATAATGTCTATTTTGGTTACTATAGCCTACTCACCAAGTCCTTTTATCCCAAATAGTATTTTTTTCAATCGATTTTTTTTTCATTCACACGAAATGACTCTTCAGATCCGTTTCGTGTAAATACTTTACATAAGTGTCCACGCTCAAAAAATCGTTATTTTCAAAGGTCATCAAGCCAAAATGCAAAGTACTGTAACCTTAAAAAGTGTATTGTCAGGTTGTTTCCCCTTTTTTGAGTAATAACGTGTATAATTGGAAGTGTTCCTGAATCTAGCACAGTTTCACAAACAGAATCACACTGTGTATCACTGTTAGACAAGCGGATGAAAAGTAGGTCGTATAGTCCCCACACACACACACACACACACACACGCACACACACCGACTTGTTTCACATACCTAGTGTGGACTTTCCTTTCTTTTCGTGTAGTTAAGGAACACCAGTGGAAAAACTCATTTTTCTCAAACTGTGAAAACTCTTACAACCCAATTTTTTTTCAATGATTCCCTTTAGTGTTTCTCTTCATTCTGCTACCTAAACCTAACCCAAAAATGCCTCTAAACCTGTTTTCCAGAAATGGGGAAACACTGTGTGGACGTGGGCAAGTCCTCACTTCGTCGCTGCTACCTACATTATGTGGACGTCTTTTGTTCGGAAGTCCACACTGCGTATGTAAGACAAGCTCACACTTTTTGACCGGGGGAGATGGGCTATTTAATCATCCCCGGCCACTTTTTCCTGATGAGAACAAAAATGCGTATTTCGAGGTATTTCTCGAACATCCCAACTTGCAAAATGTATTCAATAGCATTGACAAGTGGAGACAGAAAGTACGAAAGGTTTTTAAATGCGCAGTTAATAAATTTCACGGGGTGTTTAGTACCAGTATTTACGGTCTTTTACCCAATAAAGCGTTTTGATAATAATTTGCTATATTATAGCATAATTATATACTACACAACAAGCATTAACTTGTCATTATTCACGTTATAATTCATAAAAATAGCTGTTCCTTCTGTGTATTGTACTTGTAGTCAGTGTTGCAGTACTCATACTCCGTACTCGAGTACTACTCGGGTACTTTGTTTAGAGTACTCGTACTCGTACTCGAATGTCGAAGTACTCGAACACAAAATAACGGTACTCGTACTCGGGCAGCAAAGTAATCGCACTCGACATGTCGAAATTGTACTTGATCATCAAAGTACTCGTACAAAATGGAATATTATTTTATCGATACTTTCAGTTTGAAATGGTTGATTGGCGGAGAAATCGAAGTTTACTGATATTCCTCTGTGCACGTCCGGACAAACACATTTAATTAACAGCTAGCCATGAGTGGGTCTGTATATCGGTCTGACTGGGCCTAGGCCAATTACGCACAATGAACCATTTGCCGTATGGCCGTATTCGGAAATAGGAGTACCCGTACTCGTACTCGTACTCGGAATAAAAGTACCCGTACTTGTACTCGTACTCGTACTCAGAAGTACTTGTATTCGTACTCGGAAGTACTCGTACTCGTACTCGGAGACCTGTACTTGTACTCGCAAGTACAATTAGTACTCGTACTCGTACTCGGTAACCTATGAAACTCGACAGTACTCGGTACTCGGAAAAAAGTACTCGACTACTGCTGAAGCATGACGACGCCAAAAGGAAATTTCGTCTTTTCATATCTGGTGAGGAAATCTTGGGTTATTGAATACCGTTTGCAGTAGCGCTCCAAAATGGTGATTTTCACAAAACCTTAAAAAGTGTATTTTCTTATTTTTGCCTTTGTTTTAAGTAATAACATGTATAATTGGAAGCGTTCCTGAATGTAGCCACCGAATTCAGATCTTGTATGTTAATTTGCATAACGAAAAAAATGTAAATAAATCATTTGCAAGTGAACACTTTAGAAATCACACCCCCCACTCCGGGGCATTGCTTGGGGTGATGGGGGATGTGACCTCCCACTAATAACTTGGCTTTGTCGGTAAACTCATTGCCACGTCGGCAAAAATCTTGTGTTTGCCGGCATAAATTTAAGCCGCAATGGATAATAATGCCCCATAATTGTGTCCAACGCCTCTGATTGAAGAGCATCCGTTAGTCAAATGATGTCCAGTCCTCCCCGCCCCGCTATGCCCCGCCCCTCCCTTTGCCACCAAATTCAGATTTTTGCTAAAATGTATGTGCCTAAATAGATATCAATTTGCAAAATATCAACAGCCGTCTCCAACCCCCTCCCCACCACCCTCCCCCTCCTCCAGTGCTCATATGAGCAACTCCCCCGTACCCCACCCCCCCCCCCCCAAATAATTCTACATGAAGAATTATTGATAAGGTTACATATATTGCCATGGGGAAAGTCCACATTATTTATATGCACTACGCAGGTGTGTTTCAACTTAAAATGCCTTAACTTAAAATGTACACCAGACCGTAACTATACATGTTTAAGGCCAAGACATAGAGTGAAATTCATTCAGTCAAATAGATGCTGTTTTCACTTGGAGTTTTCACTGGATCGAGTGGTCCTTGTTTTAAAGTACATGTATTTCAATATAAAAAGAAGAGTAATTTGCTCTCTAAATCGCCTCATCTTTCCCCTGTTTTAAAAATAATACAATAAACGTCCTTTTGTTCACCACACATTCAATGTAATTCCGAAAGTAACTTGCAATATGTACATGTACATGTACATGTGTATACATGTATGCATGTGTCAAAATCCCCCTCCCACCATCCCCCCTCCCCACCATCCCCCCTCCTTTGACACACACACACACCCCTTCTCCTTCGCACATTTTGGATATTCCGAGCCGCCCAGTGTTGTAAAAAAACCCCACTGTATACATAAGTCAGACTTTCCCAAAGGCCATATGAACAAAATTGTACATGTTGACTTTGGGGGGGGGGGGTTCTCATATGAGCGCTTGGGGAAGGGTGGCAGGTGGAGGGGAGGGGAGGCTGTGAAAAGTGTTCACATGCGAACTATTCATTACATTTTTTGGGTTATGCAATTTAGACAAGATCTGAATTCGGTGGCACGGGGAGTGGGTGGGGCCTAGCAGTGTGAGTTTGTGTTACATACCCTATGTGGACTTGTGAACAAAAGAGGTCCACATAATGCAGGTTGTGTTTACCTTATGTGGACTAAGTCGTGTCCACATAAGGTTTTGCCCTTTCTGGAAAACAGGTTTAGAGGCATTTTTGGGTTAGGTTTATCCGTAGCAGAATGAAGAGAAACACTAAAGGGAATCATAGAAAAAAAATTGGGTTAAAAGAGTTTTCACAGTTTAAGTAAAGTTATTTTTTGTACCGAGTTTTCTTAACTACACGAAAACAAAGCAATGTCCACACTAGGTATGTAATGTAAGTCTGGGTGTGTGTGTGTGTGTGGGGGGGGGTATATACTACTCCCCCCCCCCGGATTTTCGCCCCTGAGGTAGAGTGTGTGAATTTATAACTCATTATGAAAACTGCAGCAACATGAATGTATGCTGGCTAGGTTTGGCAAATTTCATCTATATGTTTTCCCGGTAACTTTAACACGTTTATATCATACAAATTCCATAGAACGATCCTTTAAATTCGTTCCACATTATCGGCTCAAAATGTCAATTTTAAGTTTACTTCAAAAGCTCAGATTTCAGTTACACGTATTTAGCACTCTGATTCGTCTTAGTTTTAGCAAATTTGTTTAGCTGTGAAGATGGGCGCTGTATGTAAAACACAGATTTAGGGTTTTTGTCATTCGTTTTAGTGCGTTAGACATTTGTATTGTGAACGTGCGTTGTTTGCATGGTCCATAATCTTCAGTCTGCTTGAAAAAATGTGTGGGCTCAACGGTGATTTCCCTAGATTTGATACGAAGGAATCCAAAGCGTTTCTTTCTTTCTTCATTGACAGATCTGCAGGTGATATTTGCGTCCCCCTGGATTTGGCCGTCTTCGTCTACAAGAACGATACACCAACTGAAAACATGACCTTCAACCAATATCACTATCCAGTTGTCCGTGTAGCAAGTGCAAGCAACGCCTCTAATGAATCCTTAGTGCTTGAGGTGGAGCGATGTAACTTGGAGGAACATTTCCCTGAAGTGGAGCTCATCCCACGGCAGCCTAGCTGTGCTGTGATCGGTAACAGCGGTATCTTAAACAACAGCAGTTGCGGGGATTTCATCGACTCACATGACTTTGTTATCCGCGCCAATGGGGCGCTGATAAAAGGCTACGAAGTTGACGTCGGCAAAGCGACCAGTTTAAGTGTTATCAACTTGACTCTGTTGCTTAAATACGGTCGTGCCATGGGGAACACAAACACTACTGAAAATCTAAAGATACGGGCTCAATTTCTTGACCGTGTTCGAACTTCGAATATTCGAATTTTGTGGTACCCGAAACATTTGTATCAACCTGGCACTCATTGTGACTATTGTGGGAAGTATCGATCTATAATCGATGGGATCAGAAAGAACGGATTCACAGGTATTCGGTTTGCTTTCAGCTGGAAAGGTATTCATGTCGAAAAGTAAGTAAAGTCAAAGAAAAAACAAAGTGATCTGTGTATGTCGATATTTTACTCATTTTATTCAGTAGACATTTATTCTGTATGGTGGCCCTGAAGGGACATCACTAATCAAGATTTCTGCGCAGATTTCTGCGATGTCGCACATTTTATCGCAGAAATCTGCGCAGATTTCTGCGATGTCGCACATTTTTATCGCACATTTCTGTGCAGATTTCTGCGATGTCGCACATTTTATCGCAGAAATATGCGCAGATTTCTGCGATGTCGCTCATTTTATCGCAAAAATCTGCGCAGATTTCTGCGATGTCGCACATTTTATTGCAGAAATCTGCGCAGATTTCTGCGATGTCGCACATTTTATCGCAGCAATCTGCGCAGATTTCTGCGATGTCGCACATTTTATCGCAGAAATCTGCGCAGATTTCTGCGATGTCGCACATTTTATCGCACATTTCTGCGCCGATTTCTGCCATATCGCACATTTTATCGCAGATTTCTGCAATATCGCACATTTTATTGCAGAAATCTGCGCCGATTTCTGCGATGTCGCACATTTTATCGCACATTTCTGCGCAGATTTCTGCAATATCGCACTTTATATTGCAGATATCTGCGCCGATTTCTGCGATGTCGCACATTTATCGCACATTTCTGCGCAGATTTCTGCGATGTCGCACATTTTGTCGCAGAAATCTGGGCAGAAATGTGAAATGTCGCACATTTTATCGCCCATTTCTGTGCAGATTTCTGCGATGTCGCACATTTTATCGCACATTTCTGCGCAGACATGTCGTCATGAAAACACATCAGGGTAGATAACAGCCTATCCGGGCAGCCCAAGAGCCTTAGGATGGAAAACAGGCCTGAACGACTCACGTTGTCGAACACCTTAGTTAAGTCGACGAAGATCATGTACAGAGGTCTCCGTTGTTCAACACACTTCTCCTGAAGTTGTCTCAAGGAGAGTACCATGTCAATATAGTGGAGCGGGATGGGCGAAAGCCACACAAACTTTTGGGGAGGATTCTGTTGGCGATGACCTAGCTGTAGCCAATTGTACCAGATATCGGGCAAAGACCTTCCAAGCTAACACAGATGAGATGCCCCTGTAGTTACTTGCAGTCTTGTCGGCTACCTTTGTTTTTGTGGAGGGTTACGATGTTTCCTTTTTTTGATCATGTGGTATGAAATGGGAAGCGTGCTGAGACGCATACGCAAAGACATGAGCCGGGGAGAGATGACAACAGGTTGCTAAATGCAAGGGAGTAGGGAGTTCCGAACTGCGAAGTTCAGGCTGATGTCCAATGTCCTCTTAGCACAGCGGTTGGCCAAATGAAATACATAGCAGACAGTCTTTGGGAGGCTGAGTTTTAGGTGCCACTGGTGGAAGTTGTGACTGAGGCTGTTGAGGTCCTTCTCGAGTGACGCTTTGATAGCTTCAAAATGACCTGTCAGCAAAACCCAAAGCAGAGTCATCAGTGGTAGGTGTACTGCGAGCATTTGCCAGACGGCATATCAGCTGCGTAAAATAATATTGAACATCACATAGGCAAATACAGAGCCCTGAGGAAGACCATTTCTAATTCTCCTCTTCTTGCTTCGTTGAGTTGACCATGAGATGTCTCAAGGACGAATAAGCGATCTTGTATGAGCACCATGAGGAATTTCACGAGATCAAACTATAGTAGCTGATTGTATTGAGAACCATCATGATCAGTAGACGCTATCATGATTAGTAGACGGCATGGTCAGGATAAGTTGGCAAAATGACCAAAACTGTATTTGAGTACTTATCGTGGGCCGATTTTTTTCGTTCGATGGCTCTTCGGACAGCTCATAACTAATGTAATTTCTGCTCTCCTCACCCCGACCCTTCAATTTCCCTCCTTGCAGGGCATGGGGTCTACATCGAACAGCCACACTTGGATTAGACATGTACGCAGTCGCTCGGACGTTCTGCTCGAACATCACTCTCTTCGGATTCTACCCGTTTTACAAAGACCTGGAGGGTCGAGCAGTCAAGTATCATTATTTCGACGATGTCAAATTTAACTTTTCCCGCAACAGGGGGCACAGTTTTACTGGGGAACACTCCAAACTGAAAGAGCTGGAAAAACAACGGAAACTTAATTTAGTCGTCAGAGACTGCAAGCCGAGAGAGGGCAGCAGACATGAGAACACCGTGCGTGAACCAATCATAGACATATAATAAAACCTATCATATGTCTATGGAACCAATTGACAGGACGACAGTTTGAAAGCTTGTTACGTTGCATATGGTTTTTAGTATGTTTACTGAGTAATGTTATAATGTCATTAATAAGGCCTTTAATAGTGTTCCACCTTCAGTGCACCGGCATATCGTTGGGGGGGGGGGGCATTTAGGGCCATCCCCCATCCTAACAAGTAGCAATTTTATGCATTTTTAAATTTGGTTTAAAACTGTTTAAGCAAGAAAAAAGGTGAAAACATAATATTATATTAAGTATATTATTACTATTTCTGAGCGAACATTAAGTCCATCTCAAATCTATCAGGGCATGTAAATGTCTATAAAAATCTGTTTGGGCGGCCGCAGCTCCACTGTGTCAGATGTACATTTTGGACAGTTAAACAGTGTGCGAAATGCAAACTATAATCAAGGAGTCAATTTTAATTATGTTCGAACGTTTGATTTAGTAACTACATGTACAATGATTTACAAAAGAAATTATTCATTCAACTTTTTCGTTGTAGTAAAAAGTAGCTCTAAACCGGCCAGGGGCGAGTTGATCAGGGAACGAGTTGGCCATTAAGCCAATCACCGCATTCGTTTCATACATAAAAAAATAATTTCTAAAGAAAAAAAAAAGGCTCAAAAGATGCACTTTGGTTTTCGATTCTGTCGCACATCAGGTGTGTTCACCAAACACTGTTTTCCGATGTTGTTTGTGTGTCACACAATGAACGACCACAGGCAAAACTCGATTACATAACTAGCAATGTGGGCGTTCTTAACCGGTTTTACACGCGAAAGCATGGAATACCTAGCTTTTTGGAAAATAAGAAGTGTCAACATTTTTGCGACCGGAGCGCAAGTCGTCAATTTTTTGATGCAAATATTGACGTCATTATTCACGACTTGCGATGTCCCCTCAGAGCCACCATAGCTGTGACCACAAATATTCTTCAAGCTTGGATTGTACAGACAAGGTGGGGTACTATTTTGCTTTTTTGTGTCCTCGTGTACATTGATGTTCTCCATAATTTGCCTTGGTGCTCTCGATCATTTGCCTTGGTGCAATTTCCCATTCCTTGGTGCTCTTTGGTAAAAAAAAATTGAGGAGGTGCGGCAGTATAGGCCGCTGTTGGAGCTACCGCGGAACATTTTGGGAAAAAAAGATTGACGCGCATGATTAAAATCGACGCGCGCGCTGACCAGAGACCGACTTATTATTTTTTTTTTGGCCTTTCTAATTCATTTTTTTGTAGACCCTGCTACTGGTTTAATGTCCACAAAGATCTGTATGCCGAGTTCCAGTTCGAGTTCCATGATTCTTCCTCCATCAAAGAGAATGAACCAGGGTTTTGACGACTCATTCTCAGGTTCATCTGTCACCGGCACCCATCATAAAATGTTGATGCCATCAAATTCATCGCAGTCGTTGCGGCGTGACCTGACCCTTTCCATCTGGTCCGGTAGAATTATGACTGAACATGAACATAACATGATATATTAAACATGACTGAATCTACCAAAGATTAAAGACGACAATGCTGTGCAGATCCAGAAAAGTTATTATGTAGTACAACTTCTGTCTCAATTTTGTAGTCGTACATGATGTCAGGCACAGATTGACTACAATAAAATAGAAAATAATACGTATGTATTACAAGAAATTACCCAGTGTTTGTGTAACCTTATTCTAACAGAATTAGCTTATTACATATCACTTACATGTACTATACACATGCACACACATGTCCAAAGCAATGTTTATGTAAAAACACATGTAGGCCCTTACAATGTACATGGACAGATGTGAGTTTACCAACTATATGACCTTAACCCAGTGTCAGTCCAACAATTGCATTTATACCACCTACTCCACATTTTAAAGAATATTGATGTCTAAATGCAAGAATTGTTTATCTACACCCTGTATAAATCTCGACTTGCAGTAGTCCGAAAATTTGGGACTCTCAATACTGTGTATGAAAGTTCCAAAACTTAATGTATTGAAAACATGCAATACCAGAAAATAGACTGGCATCTGAAATAACCAGTCCAACAACTCTTCAGTACTGCGTCAACAACTGTCAGCTGTGCCAACAGAAATATCTAGGATGACGGGTACTAAGTCACTATTTCTACACATTTCTCCATAACAGAGACCTGACTAGTGACAATGAATGAAGAAGTCAGTCCTGTGAAACAGTTGGACTATGGATGGACATGTAGAAGTCTAGTCTTTAGCCTCATTGTGAAATCACTTGACTTCCCTCTCATGTGCAAGCTGCCAAATATTGAAGAAAAGTCTCCTTTAAAAATTGAATTGAAGCTTCAAACTTGGTTGGTGAAATACTCAGGACCTTTTCTTTGCCACAATGACAGTTTTGGAGAAATTTGCTGGCTAAAGGGTAAGTAAAGTTGGCCAGATCTTCTTTTGCATCGTTTTGAGCACTTAAGGTCCCAGTCTGGACCTGCAGTATAATACATACATGTGCTTTCTAACAATAACATGTTCCACAATAATTAACATGTGACTATGCAACCAAAAAATGCTTTGAAAATACAACTTTTAGGCTTACTAAACAGAACTAAATATCACACTAAGCACTAAATCAATTATATAAATTGTTTAAGAGCAAGCTGCTGTACAATGACCGTTTAATAAATCTCGGCGGGATAATTGCTTTGGTTGCAAACTCTAAAACGCTGAAGCCATGTTGCTTTGGAATGCTTGGTTACCGTGTTTCTAGTACAGCGCCCTCACAAGGCAAAAAGAAGAAATCTGAATTTGGCCGCTACAATGACTGTACATGATGTATTAAAATGAAAATGTATTTGTGTTATCGAACTCCAAGTCTTTCAACAAGCCATGCGTTCTTTTTTTGTTCAATTATTGGTAATGTTTACATTTTATCCAGAAACCAACATAACCAGAATCTATTAGATTGTGTGCATGTTCATATCTAATGAAATATGCAAGAACTGTAAAACATGGAGTTAACTATTTATAGCCAATATGTGAAGCTGTAGTACAAGTCCACAACTGATGCAAACATTTCCTCTATATACATGTACCATTATTATTTTTCGGAATCGGTTGAAATGTGTTGTTTTTTTCCCCAAAAGCAATGATATTCTGCGTAATTATGCATATTAGATAACTTAGAACCTTTGGAAGGCTCATCTTTTAAAAAAGTTTTTCTCTGAAAAATGCCAAAAATCGAAACGACAGTATTTTCACGCTAAATTAACACTCAAAGCGTTGCCCTCCTCAATTTTGCATAATTTGATAATTAATTATGCAAATATGATAATTTAATTACTTACACACTTGATTATGTTCCCAATAGTAAGTTTTTGAAGGCTAGTTTGGCATTTGATTAAAATATTTGTTTTTGATTATTTATGCAAATTTGATAGTCATTTTAACTTTTTTTTCATTTTTGTTTAGCCTAATGTCATACCACTGTTAAAACAAAATATCAAACAGTTCAGATACCAAGTGACATGGATAAAAAATAACATTTCTGTAGTCTTCTTTTCGGTGCCAATAAGGAAATAAAAAATAAAAAAACCTTTGGCCTCTTAGCAAAAAAATAACCCGTTTTGCGAAACATAATTGCTTATAACTCTCGAACACAATGACCGATTTCAAAAATTTCAAAAGTTCTTTACTAATGAGAACTCACTGCATCACATTATGTCCATGGTAGGTCCCTATTCCTTTTAATTAATTTTCATCTGAAGTTCCGTTGAAGTTTCTCCCCGTGTAGGCCTACGCGAGTATCCACATTTCCTTATAGAATGGAAATAACCCTGAAACCTGAAACCTATAATACTTTGGTTGCTTACTACGGGTATAGAACTTGTTGCCCTGCACAGGAAGGTAGCAGAAATAGCGAATGCCATGTGACTCGCTTTCGGCCAATCAAGATACAGAATCTGTGAGTGAGGTATTGTAAAATGTTCTGTGCGATAAACTCGCACAGAACATGCTATCTGTCCGTGGTAGAATGTTCTGTGCGTGTTAATATACTAGCTATTATTAGTATTAACCCAAACCTATGCATTACTTCCACAGTGTGTGCATTACAATTTGAATGCACACAGCTTTAACCTCAGACATCCTTCCGATACTGAAAACAAAAACGATGGCGGGCCATTCAGTTTGGTGGTGGTACACAGCTGTATGTATCTTTTCAATTATGGGATTGATGATGAGTTTTTACATAGTTGAGAAGACTTACATACCGCTGCCTAATCGACCATATTCCAAGACTCCGGGTAAATTGGCCTATGCTCGGACAAGACAGAGTACATCGACGGCCAGGTCTACGGTGACTTTGCACTGCAAGATGGTGTGCAGCAAGTAAGTTCTATTAGGCCATCAGCCTGGGGATTTGGTCGGTATCAAATGAGGAGAATAATGCTCATTGTGATTTTTAGCAAGGTATATGCACCCCTGTAGTTAGAAAATATGTGATAGCATTGCAAAAAAACCAACTGCCACTGCTCACACTGCAAAGCTATCACACATGTTCCAACTCTAGATGTGCCTACCTTGCCAAAAATCGCTATGAGCATTGTTTCTTTCGATCATCTGATACAGGTGGCCCAATTTATGGACCGAAGCTGATAGCCTATATAGGCCTACATGTATACCTAGTGTTTATATTCAGGGATAGCCCCATAACTGTGGCCTATTTACTGGACTGCCTCCGTAAACATAGGCCACACATCCACATGTACAAAAACGTGTCGCACTTTGCCAAATTTTGATTTTCACATTTAGGCTTAGTTTGTAGGATTTTTTTGCTTTAGAAGCATACTCACCCTCTTTATAGGCTAGTCAGAAAGTGCTGCCTTTTTCAGATGTCTGATTTTTGTGAAATTTCATGTTGAAATTTTGATACGCAAACGTGTAAAAATGAATCTGGAAATTTCATGAAAAATATACATCTGAAAAAGGCAGCACTTTCTGATTAGCCTATAAAGAGGGTGAGTATGCTTCTAAAGCAAAAAAATCCTACAAACTAAGCCTAAATGCGAAAATCAAAATTTGGCAAAGTGCGACACGTTTTTGTACATGTGGATGTGTGGCCTATATTTACGGAGGCAGTCCAGTAAATAGGCCACATTTATGGGGCTAATTCAGGGACTGCTTCAGTGTAGTAATTTTCAGAGGATTTATGACTCCAAATGCTGAGCTGAAACGTTTCTGTCAAACCATGGGCATTAGAAATTTGCAAATGCATAAGCCTCCCAACAAGTTGAACATTGGTTCTGACTTCTGCTTGTAAGCAGACCTCTTAGAAATGAAAGATTCCAGCGGGAGAACATTCCCATTTATAGTCCGAGTACATGTACATGGAAAGGGCATGTATGACGTCATTATGACGTCATCAGCTAATTATTACATGAAAAAATATAAATTAATAATAATCTTCAGAACTGCAAGCATCTCAACAACAGATTTGGTATCAAATTAAAGGGGACAACAAGATCTTTCATTTGAGGGGTATGTCATTGGGATGGAATATAGTTGAGGATGATTTTGTGGGTCAAACAGTATGTGGTATTGTGAGATGTTGTTTTTAAGTCAGAGAGAAAGGCTCAAATTCTATGCCAAAAGAGTTTTTGTAATTGATTATTAGTATCTTAAATGTTTAAACTTGTTCCAAAGATAAGCGGAAAGGTGAGGTACCTTAGTGATAAAATCGTGACACGGGTGGACAAAAGCACCATTTTCACACCAAAGCATCTCCATTGTTTACCTTTCGAAAACAAGGTAGGATACAAAAATTGGATGATGGGAAGGGCCATTTATTACATCATTATGACGTCATCGGCTAATTATTACACACTTATACGGTAAAATTGAGATATTAGTTAGGAATAAGCCATGGATCACATTTACATTTAATATACGTTTCTGAGATCAAGGAAATCAGTGCAGTTGCCAATTTTGTTCTTAGTTCTTTAAAAGATTTAAATACAAATAGTTTGATAAAATGAGGGAT